ACATGATAATTGATAATTACGTCATTCAAATAGCTTATTCTGTATTTTCTTGATTTATCTTTATAAATTAAAAATACATCCAAGAACTTTTATAAGATAGGACGATGCAACGTATATTTCGTACATGTTTACTATATCCATATATGGTTTAAACTCCGAGGGTATAACTCGATCGGAGTCTGGCCGCATCCTTGTTTCTGTCAGGGAAAGTACACGAACTTTGTTGGATAAAATAAAGTCATTAATCGTGTTGCTTTATTATTAACCGATCTATAACCAGCCTTTAAAAAGAAACACAAGAAGAATCACATCTTTTTGTCATTTTGGAATATGAAGATGGTTCGATTTGTGTACAGTCCGCAGCGAACATGACCTTGACGCAGGTAGGCGTGGACGTGTACATGTATAAAAAGGAGCAAATCATCAAGGAATTCCAAATCATCAGTAAATTGTCAATTTACTGTACTAATAATGAACGGATAAATAGTATGACAAGCGTCAGTCAGTATTTTACTCAATGATAAATATAAACTGTATTTGCTAGCATCGTCATTGTATCGACCATAGAACTTACAAAATGATGACTTTAAATGAGACTTGTATTCCTGTTCAACTAAATTGATGGTAAGTTATTTTCGTGGCTTTAAAAAATTGTACATATGTAGAGGTTCTTGGATATCGAATCAACTGATATACGAGGGTTGATCCAAAATTAATGTCACAACTTTGATAAAATTCCTATAAATCAACTGATATAGATATAAAACTCTCTGTGTAGGTGAAGAAGGAACACGTATGCTAGTATTGCTTCTTAAGAAAGGGAAGCTGACGAAAAAAAGTAATTGTCACCACGTTTATCATAGAGTTTGGCATTCTTGGCATTTTTGGCATGCACCTGATCCAACCCCTGATGTTTCGGAGGTCTGTGTTTGCTCTGCTCTCATTTTGTATTGTTTTATGGAATTTAAGATTCAATACTTTCGTTATCTCTATATCTTTCCTTTAGGAATTATAGCAGTTAACGTGGTATGCGTTGGATTACCAGATGTAGAATTAAATTCCAAATCCTGTAAAATCTTGTTTCAATTATGAGCCTTAATACATTGTTACCTTCTTTGTCAGCAGAGATCAGATCAAACTGATCAAAGACATATAATCTATGTCATTGTTTCTCACTAATGATTTTTTGAATTAAAAAAACATGAATGTGTATTTGAATATATAAGTAAGGAATTTCATATTTTGAGCAATAGAAATGTCGTGTGAAATTTGTACATGTAATAAATCATTAGAAACAAGTGCAAATTGCAAACTTTTAAATTGCTAAATAAAAAAGTACTATTACAATTTTACGACAGATTAATATTAACAAAATGTAAGATATTTTTATAATTATAGGCTTTATGGAAATGACCTATTCATTTATCCCAATCGTTCAAGTGAACCAGCATTTTCTTACATTAAAAAAAGGAATATACACAAAAGGGTACAAAGTTTCAAATGATTTTTTTTCTTTTTAGTACTAGAGGATGTGTGTACTCTGAGTAATTATCGCAATGTCAAGTTGATTCCCATTGATGCTCTGTTAACACAAAAATACCCCAAAATATCTTAATTTTTTTTCTAAAGTTTTTTTTTTGACTGGCATAAGTAGACATAAGTAGATATTCCGGAAACTGTACTATTGAAAAATTCCTAATTTATTTAAATTTATACTAGTTTACGCAGTTCACTGAAATATGATACAATAATATGACCTTTAAATAGAACCAAGTCAAACGCAAACAAACTGATGGAAAATTAAATTCTAATTTATCAATTTACATATTTTAAAGCTTTGGAGGTTCTGTTTAAAATACATTATTAAATTGCTTTACTCCAGCTTCGACAGTATCAACGTTCATCCGTATAGAGTTTTGTTAAAGTTCTCGAGTAACTAAATTATGTCAAGCAGCATTATTATTCCTATTGACGGATTTTTTTAAAAAACATTTTCTATTTATTTGCAATCCAAATAGGCCTTTTTACTTTTTTTTATATGGATAACTCAAGAAAGAATCAGATGATATTGTAAAAAAAAATATTTTTAAAAATATTTCAGAACTTAATATGAAACATACAAGGATCCATAAAATTGTTGAAATCTAATATATATAAAAGTAGATCAAAACTGTATTATACATTTTATACTCCATTTTAATGCCTTTCTCGTGAATAAACATAAAAGTACCCATATGTGAATGAATAAAAAGAAGCTGATAGTCCATTACGCTCATCTGCGTTGCGTTATCTAAGCTTTTCTCAACGAGATTCTCCGCATTGTAATACCAATTGTTGTCCCGCCCTATATCCGGGGTCATGATTTGAACAATTTAGAATAAACACTTCCCAAGGACGCTTCCATGTGCGTTTAAGCTTTTGTAGCCCTGTGGTTCTTGAGAAAAATATTTTTAAAGATTTGTCCAATATCTTTAAATAAAACCTTGGATATAAAAATATATCTGCGTTCCCTTTTCTAGCCCCACCTACCCCTAAGGGTCATGATTTAAACAATTTAGGATCTACACTACGATACCATGAGATGCTTCCAGTAAAGTTTCAGCATTTCTAGCCTAGTTGATCACTCGAAGAATTTTTTTTTCAAGTTTTTTAATGTAAAAGTTGGGTAACCTATTATGGCCCCGCCCTACCCAAGGGGTTCATAGTTGTAACAATTTAGAATGTATACTACTCCAGGATGCTTCCACGTATGTTTTAGTAACCTCGGCTCTGTGGTTCTTGAGATAACGATTTATAAAAAAAAAAGTTTCCAATCTTTTGACCCTGCCCAACATCTAGGGGTCAAGATTTGAACAATTTAGAATTATCACTATATTAGGATGCTTCCACATAAGTTTCAGCTTTTCAGGTCCAGTTGTTTTTTAAAAAAGATATGACTAGCTCAATTATTTTTATTATCCCCTTATGGTTAGAGGCTTGGCCCTTACTTTTAAAATTCTAAAATCCCCTTCGCTTATGGATGCTTTGCACCATATAAAATTGGGCCAGTGCTATTGAACGGAAATAAAAAATGTAAAAAGTTAAAGGACTGATGGACGGACAGATGGACGACGAAAAACAGGTGGTCATAAAAGCTCACTTAAGATTTCAGCTTAGATGAGCTAAATATCGATTTTTTTTTGTTCTTTCTATTTTAACAGTTACTCGTTTTTACCATATGCACATAAAATGTCTTTCCATATAAGCCACAGGTTTCCTTCTACCCAGGGATTAATTAAAATCATGTCCTTTAAAAAGTAAATCCACTTATACGAAAATAAAAGTAAGGTTTTAATGACTTTCTTTTTTATTTGGTATTAATTGACGACTCGGGCGTCATTTTTAAATCTATGTTAAAAAAGAGTTGCTGTCAAAAAAAAAATCAATTATCAAACATTGCTTGTGTTATTATTATTTTCTTAAAAGTAAGATATTAATAAGATGAAATAATAACACATATGACAGAACTTTATTGATACAATTATGATTAATTGGTACAATGAGTGATATGAAGATAACGAACATTATTCAATATCAAAGTCCATAAAACAATAAAAAATAGGAGCAGAACAAACACGGGTCTCCAAAACATTAGAGGTGTGATCAGGTTCCATAGAGGAGTGAGGATATCAATAAGATGAAATAATAACACATGACAAAATTTACCCAAGGATTTTACGTAACCGTGAAAATCATTGAAAGCTTGTCGTAAAAGATCAACGCTGCATTTTGAAAATAATTTACCATATTTTAGTGTTTTTCTCGTGATCGCAAACATGCATAACAAATTATGTATATGGCTGTATGTTAAAAAAAGTCAAACAATTGAATTTTTGTAATGTATGGTACATAATACCTTTTCTGTGCAATGATAATACTATCGAAGTATATAGATAAACTATATTCTTAAAAGCTTGTCTAAAAAATTAAAAGGCCCAACTTCAAATAAAAAATTTTTTTCTTGTGATCGATGCACACATTTGGGTTCCCGTTCTTTTCTCCATTGGAGAGTCGCATATAAATGTTAAGCACAATAAACTTATCATATTAGTTTAATATATATTTTATTCACAGAAATGGATTGAACAGCAGGCATAAATGCCTGTGATCGTTCTCTCCATATTATCATATCATATCTTATCATATTGACTAAATAAGCCACCATTTTGACGATAAGAAGTGAAAGTCTTTTTATAGTTTATTATACAAATACAGTTATAATCACAGTTTGCTGCTTCTATATTTCATAAGTTTGATTGAAATCCGGAAATCCTGATAGTGTCTTTCATGATGGTATAAACCGTAGCAAAGACTGAATAAGGAATCACAAATTATTCCTTTATAGAGGCGTCATACAGTTCACTTAAAAATATCTATTCTTAAGTCATCAGTGCAACATTGTTTAGGGTATATGCAAGCATATGAATACAAAATAATATAACATTTTTTATTTATATTTATATTCTATACAAAAATATATTCTTCAGATAAAAAGTCCCCATTTTAAATTCCTTTTTCCTTGCATAAAAACTCACAATTTGGAATAAGTTTGTGGCGACAGCGATGTTGTTTCATTCTGATGAAGACGCAAAATCTATAATGGGATAATTATTGATGGTTTACCGTACATCTTACTTATTGTGCCATTAAAATAATGATAATTTAAGTTTATTGATATTTCTAAAGAACAAATAAATATAATATGAACTAGTTATCAAATAATTTCATAATTTATATGCTTACCTTCGAATTGATGGTCAGAAGATTCTGAAAAAAATGTTTTAAAATCAAAAAAATTAGTTGTATCGACCATCTCTGTTATTAGTCAAAGAAAATCATGAATTGAGGATGTCAAAAAAAATTAAATCAATTTTACATGCAACAAAGATCGTCGTAAAGTTTATTTTAGCTTTTAGAAATATTTTATTTTCGTATCCAATGGCTCTTTATTTAGAAATTAATCATACTTTCATATCCTCTTTCAATTCCTTCATTTCTCTTTTAATTTCTTTCATTTCGTCTTTCAAAGGTTCCATTTCCTAAACAGAAATGAAATATTTGGAAATAACAATTAGATGTCAAGCTTCAAAATCCATTTAACAATACAAAATTAGAACAGAGCATACTCAGACCTGTAAAATATCAGAGGTGGGATCAGATTCCATGGAGCCCTGCGACCGGTAAAATGATTTTTAAATTTTCTGTATTGTTTTTTCAGTTTATTGACATTTTAAAAAAAGAATTTATTAATTTTTTTCCCTATAACTGCAAATAAATATGAAGACAATTACACTTAATTTGATACAAGGATGTAGCATGTAATAGACCTCTCCAATACTACCAAAGTTTAACATTAATAGTATCGAAGTTATGGAATTTTTTTTTTTGATTTATTAATCATTACTTTTAAAAAGGCTTTTACCTCCGGAAATTGATCAGTGTCAATCTCTAATTTCCTACAAAGAAATATTAGTAAAAATTAGATAAAGTGAAAGTTTATCTCGTCAGGGTATTACTTAAAAAATGGCATAATGTGGAATACAATACAAAAATAAATAAGTCAATTCAAACATTGATATAATTAAAATAAACCTTTAAAAACACAGAAAGAATTATCAACGTTGGTACAGAAATACAAATACAAATTCACATTGAAGCATCAATGTACTTATGTGATTGAAATATTAAGGTTCCTTACAAGATAGGTATCGAAAAATTTTAAATGCTAAATGGCATTACATTATATTTTTATTTGATGATAATTAATTTTGGAGATAAACACGTGCCATTACCCCTGCATTTCAAGGATCCCGTTCTTCTCCGCCTCCTCAGTTTCTTTCTGGATGACGTCATAACTTTCATCGTATAGAAGCACTACATTCATGTAGTAAAAAAAATAAAATGATAGGAGGCATTATTATTCATTGTCTGACATGGAATTGTACTACATGTATCTCATCAATATTTCTGCGTATTATATACTGAAGATCACTTACTTCTAAACCCCTTGACACCATTTTTCCGATAAATAGATTTTTTTGCTCTTTATATGCAAAACAAAATTTTCACAAATTGTGGATATTGATCTCTATATATTGCATATAAATATAAAAACATGCGAAAACGGTAATCTGTAGAGCACATTAAGTCGAGTAATTACTCAAAAAAGAAATAAAATTGATTTATAGTATTGAAGAGAGATTATAATAAAGACCCTAATCTGGTCTTTCTTTTTAAACACCTAGCATAAAGAATCTAAAACATATGTTCTATGTCTTCTATGGAAGAGTTATATTTCTTGGTGCGCTAATTTGTTAAAAGGTCGGAAAATGTACAAATCTCGCGAGATTTCAGAGACAAACTTAATACAAACGTGCAAATGATATGTTAAACGTCGATGAATAAATTCTAACAACAAAATGCAAATGAAATATCTTATTGTTGTGGATTTTATATTCATCTAGAGTAGGAATGACAACGATAATTGATCAATTTATATCTATTGTTGAAAGTATGTATCTATTTATCGTATGGTACATCTAATACAATAAATATTATGTCTTGTGGTTCTAAAAATTGGTTGAGCATGTTTTGTACTATCCTCAACGTCATGCTGTCCATTAGAGTTAACTAATGGAAATAGAACTTATACACTATTTGCTTTTAAGAACCACTATTTTGTTAAATTACCTCTCTCATATGCCGGTTGACCTTTTTTGTTCGTCACACATTTTAAAACGGGGGATAAGACGAGGTGGATAACAAAGGCAGCTGCTGACAGAAGCTTAAAATGGATGGGGAAGATATTTCTGATGGTGTATTCCTCAAGGAAGTTGGATTGTAGCTGTGACCAATGCATGCGAGAATTTTCATGCACAATGGCGGCCGTGTAACTGTAAATAAGTTATTAAATATAATTAGTAGATGACAGAAATTTAAGCTTAATTTATCCTTGATAAAGCATGTTGAAAGATAAATAAAAGAAAAGAAATTAACAAACTTGTATTCAGTCTGAATATTATGGATTAATATTTTTGATAGAGTTATTATCTTCACCAAAATAAGAGAGGGGGGTTTCCATATTCTGCCATTGCAATGTTGAGACTACAAAAAAGTTTCTAATTGGGCTATTTTTGAAGACAATAAAAAATCTAACCGTTAAAACCATAATGCTTTTAAGTAAGCATTGAATAGATCATTTGAGAGTTCTTGGACCCAAAGGTAGATCACTTTTTAAAAATTTAATAGATGTATCATTGCTAAGACTTTCCGTGAGAGGTACTTTTTTAAGGAGCGATCCTATCAGAAATATCGCTTTAATATGAAACTGTTACAGCTTGATACTTTTAATAATATACACGATTAAAATAATATAGCATCATTTTGGTAAAATGATTTTATGATTTTTTTGAAAATTACGTAAATCAATAGTTAAGAATATCCGATCCTCAGCCAGGAAGGATAACTCCAAAAATTAACATTTAATTTGAAATGCATCCAAATGAAGCTTGAAAATGAAATTTTTTCATGCAACAATTTTTTTCATTTTATTCATCTTTATAAGATTCAAGGTCTTTGGAAGTCTTAGAAAAAGTCTTATAAAAGTTGACATTTGTACCCCATAAAAGAGAACAAAATTATACAGTTTTAGAGAAATAAAATGTTCCTGAATCCAGCCTTATATACCAATGCTTTATAACATGATATGATATGAAAAGTGATTTATGTTGTCTTGCAATGATAGCAAAAGCCTTTCACACAATGTATTATAGAATACATGACAGAAAAAGAAGATAAAAAATACCAAATAAGTATAAAAATCAAGACAATTTCTCTGAATGTCTGGATACGTATGGTTTTTTAGCCTAAAATATATAAGTTGATCAATTTGCAATTAAAAAATGCATTGCTACTATTTCAATTCGCTTTTCTACAAAAATATTGGAGATTTGAAAATTTCCCTATATAATATGATTAACTTTGATGCTTAACTTTAAAGAAATACTGTGGATAAAATTACATAACTTTGTGAATTCAGAGATACTTTTATGAAAATTTTTATTACTTAGCTGCTAATTTTATAAACCTGAGTATCGGACTACCTTAATTAACTTGATATTTTTTTTTACAGCAATGATAGAAATCATTTAAAAGGATTTTGCCCAAATCTCAATCAAAAAGACAGTTATTAACAAACAAATTCAAAGAATTGTGATCCCCAGCTTTCGATTGGTAAGATGCCATTTAAGCGATATTGTGTCAAATTAGCTCCCTCTTATAAGTCATTCAAAAGTCTTTTCGACATTTTTTTTCAAATTAAACAAACATGGAGTTCAAAGCCAGAGAAGGACAGATATTAACATAATCACAAAAATCTTGTCTCAAGTAATGAAAATCCAGAGATCTCGGGATTATAAGTCATAGTAAATTTTCAAAGTCTTATCATAAGTTATGTACATGTAAAATTATAGAACTTTATATCTTTGTATTAAAAGGTTATGACCTAGGTTAAAGTTAGCTTTGTTGACAGACGGTCAGACAGACTGATTAAGATATAGACAGAATCAATTGTCTAATTGCTTCCGCAAAAGGTTGGGACAATAAGACAAATCGAGATAACTCACCTGTAAATAGCAATGAGTAAATTAAGCAGCATCACTACAGCTATCAAGCAGTAAACAGCTCTCAAATACGGCGATATTGCACTGCCAAGTGATGTAGGACATCTTTCCTGTAGACCAGCCTTATATATAGTAGCATTGTTTGTGCAGTCTGTACCTATGGCAAATAAAAACATTCTTTTGTTTTCACGAAACCATTTTGAAATCCAAACGAATGCACTATAACATATCTTACAGGCCCCATGGCCTGAAGCATCTTGAACTTAAGTCAACAACTTCATGTTGTACTGAAATCTGTGGAAGTCAGGCATATGGATTTTAAAATACGTTTCATTGTTGATTCACAAAAGTACAGTTTTTGCAACTTTTGAGGTTTTTTTTTCAGTTATTGATGAACATTTTTCAGGCGATTAAAATATTGACTTAAATCCAAGTCTGATGATCCCGGGGCTTGAATTTTTAAGTAAAAACAGACACAGAATAAACCTCAAATTGTTTTTTATTTCTCTCTCTTACCGACATCGTCACCAAATTCGCCATATAAAGTCCAGTATCCGTTTTTGATGATACTTTCTACTTCCGCCCAGCTAAACTCAGTGTTTGGAAACAGAAGGGCGTGGTCCACCACATTGTAACACATCATAATGACAAGAACGATGGCCATAAATGCCACTGTATTTCCAAACTTAAATAAAAAGTATATTTTTACAGCAGAAAAATTATAGTATGAAACGTAAAAAACTCTTTGTGCTTAAACATATCTAAAAAAAAAAAATACGAGTCTAAATTTCAAAAGCTACAATTTAGACATAGTAGTACATATGATTAGGTATTTTTTCATGAACTATCATTTCAAACCTACCATTTTTTGAATTATAACTAATTGAGTTCCCAGAAACTCTGATGTCCAAAACATGTTGAGAATTCGAATGTTTAACATAACGTAGGCAGATATGTAAAGTAACTTTGCCGCGCCTTCCATCAGGTTATCGTCAAACAATTTCAAGATGGCGCCCAATGTACAGGCAATAATGATTAACCAATCCAAGTGGTTCCAGGTATCTGACAAATACATCTTTACTGCATCAGGTATCTGTTTCTTTCTTTTAATGGCCACAATAACCTAAAAGTTAAAACCATGATTTGTTATATAAGGAATGCGATATAACCAATTTATTTTTTACAACTTTCTATGAAAATTATGTGGAAAAATTCTACCATCATGTAGTTATCCTTATACGCATGCATTTTCAATATATATAAAAAGTACATTTTAACTTATTCAATTAAATTACTCTTAGGGTTTGACCGAGCGTTTTCATAAACATGTACGAGTGGTGATCAAAAAGTTACTCTTAGGGTTTGACCGAGCGTTTTGATAAACATGTAGGAGTGGTGATCAAAAAGTTCAAAACCTTTAATATATACATGTATTATATACCGTTCACCGTATTTACATGTGGGCCAATTCAAAACGGAGCGAATTTAAAAACAATAGTATAAGTTCTCAAAAGAAACTGTGACTAACGAATTTAAAACAGAACCAAAGGCGAAACTAACACGGGCCGAAAATAACCCTGTATACAATAAAAAAAATCCACAATTCAGATTAAATTGAAATTTAGCCCACACAGAGGCATACACATGTGGTATTCATAACATATGTAAGACATGTTTTGCTTCATGTTTGTGATGCCACAATGTGATCACTTGTAACAGTAAAGATTGAATTGTATGGTAAGAGTTGAAAAACAATTGTAATAGTCAGTGAAGGAACGCCACAGAGCATGTAAAGTGACCGCCTTAATCAGGTGATTCCCCTCCCCCCACACACAAATAAAGAAACAAAGTACCACAATTGGATTTTTCCACAAACCTGCTCCAATTCGTCCACAAATTTACAAGCTACCCAGAAAAGTATAGCTAATTCAGAACGTGAAACTGTTTCTTCGCTGTAATCGAACAGCAGCATGTACGCAAACGCAGCGAGGAAAAAGAAAACTCCAACCTTAAAAAAAAGAAGACATTATTGTTTTTAAATTGCTAGCAATTCACAGTGTTTTCATAGCAATATGAACATACCAATTTGAACAATTTCTTACCATATTTATCCATAACTTCAGAATAGGGGTGTGGTATTTCTTGTAGAACCTATTACAACAAAGGATGATCACTCTGATTAATTAAATTTCGTTCTTACAGAAATATAAATAACAAGAGGCCCACGGGCCTTATAGGTCACCTGAGTATTATGTAATTTAGAATTTTGAAAGGGGTACCATTGCTTATCATAATTATAAAGTTAGCATGCTTATTCTATTTACTTAATACCCAGAGGTAGAACAGAGTAACAAAGAGAAAATAGACTTTCATTTCAAACCAGTTAAGCACCAAACCCCAAAGTAACAAATGACCCTGGGGCCACATATTTCAAAATTTTGGAAATTTTATCAAAAAATTGTTGATTGATAACTAAAAACAGGTTTAAAAGCATTAATTTATTTTCAATATATGTATCCCCACCTTCCACCCCGATACCCCTGACCGAGGGGGCATGAAATTAACCATTTTGCTAGATACAACTCTCTGCATCATAAATATATGTACTTGGATCATAGGCATACATGTAATACCCAGGAGGAAAGGAAAAGATTTTAAAAGAATAAATGTATTTTCACTATATAATCAAAAGAGCCCTCCCCCTTACACCAATAGGCAAAACCCCTGATACAGGGGCCATGAAATTCACAAATTTGGTCGAGGCACTCTTGCTCACTATAACTATATACTAAATTAGTTTATTTAATACCCAGGAGCAGGGAAGATTTTCAAAGATTGAACGTATTTTCACTATGTTATCAATAGAGCCCTACCCTAACACCAGAACCCCTGACTCTGGGGCCATAAAATTCACAACTTTAAAAGAGGCACTCGTGTTCATCATAACTATATATTTAGTTAGTTTATTCCAATACCCAGGAGCAGAGAAGAAGATTTTCAAAGAATTAATGCATTTTCACTATATAATCAATAGAGCAAAACCCTAATACCAGAACCCCTGGTCCTGATGCCATAATAATTTTGGAAGAGGCTCTCTTGCTCATCATAACTATTTTCTTAATTAGTTTATTTTATACTCTGGAGCAGAGAAGAAAATTTTCAAAGAATTCATGCATTTTCACTATATAATCAATAGAGCCCCGCCCTAACACCAGAACCCCTGACCCTGGGGCCATAAAATTCACAATTTTGGAAGAGACACTCTTGCTCATCATATCTATGTACTTTGTTAGTTTATTTAAAACCCAGGAGCAGAGAAGAAATAATGCATTTTCACTCTATAATCTATATAGCCCCATCCTAGCAATAGAACCCCTGACCCTGGGGTCATGAATTTCACAATTTTGGAAGAGACACTCTTGCTCATCATATCTATGTACTTTGTTAATTTATTTAAAACCCAGGAGCAGAGAAGAAATAATGCATTTTCACTATATAATCTATATAACCCCATCCTAGCAATAGAACCCCTGACCCTGGGGTCATGAATTTCACAATTTTGGTAGAGGACTCAATGCTCATTACATTCATGCCAATAGTTTGCCTGCTTGCTGTGCAGGAGTAAAGAAAAATATTTTTAAAAATTTCATTAATTTTAGTGGTTTTGGCCCCATCCCTCAGGCCCCAGGGGAGCGAGGATCATAAAATTCACAATTTTTGTTCCCCTTCACCAATAGATGCTGTATACCATATTTGGTTGAAATTGGTTCAGCGGTTTCAGAGCAGAAGCTGAAAATGTTCAAATGTTTACACACGACACACGACGCACGACGGACGACGGACGAAAACGGATAGCAATAGGTCACCTGAGTGACTCAGGTGACCTACAAATTCAAATAATGATTATAGAGTAATCACAAATTTAAAAATATGAAATAAAGAGTTACCATGTTAAGGGAGGTTTGTCGAGATTGACCAGCAAAAGGGGCATGATGAAAACATGGAGTAAAAAAAGAAGAAAAGTTGTTGTCATCTGCAAAGTTAAGCTGTTTTTTATCAAACCCAATTTAAGCATATAATTCTCCTGTTATTTTTCTTTAACAGAAAGATAACAAATTGAAACCAATAAAGTCTTAAAGGAACATTTAAGTCATTTACAAACAACCAAACAACAAAAACTGAAGAAAAAACAAGGTTAGATATATACCGCCCAACGTCGTCCTTGTTTCTTATATCCCTTTCCTTTCCACAACTCCTTTATGATTGTCTTCAGCTTTGAATTTTCCAAAAACCACTCATTCTCTGTCTTGTATGCAACATCTAAGTACCCGTGGTTAAGAAGTAATCTTCCAGCGTTATTGACGTCATCTTTCTTCTTAAAGAAAAACGTCATCACTTTTTCTGACAAATCTTTTGGTTCTTCTGGTTTGTCTTTCTCGTCTTTCTCGTGAATATAGTTCATAATACTAAGCGCATGCCGACCGAACATTCTGAAACAGTATATAATGTCATCTTACGTTGTAAGTTTTTTCAATGTTACCCCTTAAATATGTTTTCTAAGAGGCATGTTTTTGATTCCAAGTATTCCTTATAAGAATACATAGGCACGTTTTGAAATCAGCTTATTTATGTAATATTGAAATATTTATTGTGTTTTACCTTCGTAACCTGTCTAATTCTTTCTCTTCTAAAATCCCCACTCTCCAGTCTTCGCTGAAGTCCTTTAAAATCTTGCAACCAATTAGAATGGGTCGTATTCCCACCTGTTAAGAAAGACGCTGATTACTGTTGGGTTTTCGTGGGGTTTAATTTTCGTTGTTTTGGAGGTGGGCAAAGACCCACGAATTCATGTCCACCACAAAATGTAAAACGTGACATACATAACTACTCAACAATTCTACATCCACGAAATCAAATCTCCATGAACCAAGAGTTTTTCCTCAAACAAAGAAAATATTACCCAACGAAAATATTTGATTTTGTAGTAACTTTATTCTCTGTCAGGTTGTGAACCTGTTTATTTTTTTTTTTAAATACACCAGCAGTCAAATGATATACAAGGATATGAAGACAATTTAGAACAGACATGTATAAATTTTGAAAAATAATTATATGCTATGTGATGGAACTATTATTCTCTTATAAGACATACACAGCCTGTTTCCAGTAGTTGTCGTGCTCCATCCAGTCGTTTTGTTTTTAATAGGGCGTAAAAAACAAGGTCCAATATTCTACAGTCTTTGCTTAATTCCAGTTTTTTATCTTAAAATAAAGTGTGACAATTGTAGAAAATAGGAAAAAATAACTTTTTCTTAAAATTAAAAATAAGTAAACTATATTCAATTAGAAAACACGGCTTTTGTAAAACATGTATCGAAGTAAATATTAAAATGGAAGATTTTGACAAAAAAGACGCATGTCATCATTAAAGGAATTATAACTTTTTTTATAAAGTGTAGTTAAATTTCCAGTGGGTTATTTATTCTTAATGGTGAGTAATTTGAGACATTAAGCAAATTGCAAACATTCATGATTTAATTAATATTTTTCATAATTTTGAGAGCTATTCACATGTTCTTTAACACCCAACTCCTACCTGCAAAATTTGGAGGCTGATATGCAGATTCCGTTGTTTCTTTGAGGTCTTCCCACATTCCATTTTTAAACTCTTCTTCCATATTCTGTAGATGTAAATTGTATTATCACTTTTCTTTTTGCTTTTCTTCAAGATTTGGAAAACAAATATATAAATAGCATATTCTGTACGCGAATGGTTTGTAAGACGAAGCAAGCTTTTTAAAACAAATATATAAATATCATATTCTGTATGCAGAATAAAAACTTCCTTCGTCTTGCAAATAGTTTGTAAGATGAAGCAAGTTTTTAAGAAACAAGTTGATGAAACAAAGATATCGACTATTTCCTTTAAAACCATGATTTCGAAACCTCAATGGTAGATTCGACGACCTTATCAGCAAGTTCATTCCATCAGAAAGTCGAATGCTGACTAACAATTTTTATTTTTTACAATATATTATTCGGCCACAATTTGAAAACTATACTCGGCACTCAGAGCCACTGAGAAGTTAGGGATCTTTTTCGTGCCAGCACCTACTGCTTCATCCGTATGCCTGTACACCACATACAAAAATGGAATTCGAAACCACGACGACATAAGGATTGACTGCTTTCTAGGTTTTACAGGCTGCTACTAATGATGAAACTTTTACTAAAGTGCAGATTGTAAATCGTTTAGATCATGGTCCCTCTGAGGTAGGATGCAGCTACGGTTAGATATTACATAGTCTTTGCCCTGTATAAGCTTAAGACCAAAGAAGCTATTCCAAAATTTACCATGGGAATGTATCCATATTCAGAAAAAAATATGGAGAACAGCATAGATGAAAAGTTTTTGAATGTTTTAGCCCATTAGCTCTTGTTTTTAAAAATATTTCTAATTTTTTTATTCAA